AATAACCAAAATTTAAAAACTTTTATATATAGAGAATTTTAATTTTTGCCTTGGTGTATCTACATTTTTGCACTGGCCCATACTGTAATTTACAGTTCACATCTCTACTACTAACAACAAGTTTTTATATACTACTCCAAAAAATATAGTGTTAAATTCTTTTTATATAATTTCTAATAAACTAATTGATCGATTAATCGATTAGTCGATTAACTGTTAATCAATTTTTAAAAGACAATTGATTAACTAATTGATTGCATTTTTTGTTTCGATTTGAATCACTAGCCCAATTTCTTGAAAATGCCAATATTTAAATATAGGTCTAATATTTATATTGAAGCTTCTTGCCTTATAAGATTAGACATATTGTGTTATTTCTCCAGATTGAGTTTAAAAATAGTCTGCTTCAAACTGCCAACTGCTATTAATAATGTTTGCCTTTAATAAATCTTGCTTAATATGTATTTTTGCCAGTCTGAGCTATTTAATATTTAGATTATTATTTGAGTTGTAGTTGCCAAAAATAGCAAGCATTATATCTCAATTTGCATGCTGAAGTTACAAGTTTCTTTTGCTTCAGATTTGCATGTGCTTACTAGCAAACCCTAGGTATGCTTTGGTCTTTAGGATCTGAATGATTTTGTTCTTTAGTACTTTAAAGTGTACATACTGTATGTACATTCATCATTTTGTTGCATTTGATAATAGCCAATCAGAGCGTTGTTTAGCACATGAGTATTTATAGATAATCAGATGACAGGGGCATGCCTTTTGGGTTCAAAGTAGGGTGTCCAGGATTATGCGATGTGATGAGGTAAATTATGCAGGCGAACTGAGGTTGATTATGCGATGGATGCGAAATAAATTTAAAATTATGCGATCGATAATGCGATTTTTATTATTGAACGCTATATGTAATTAGTTCTAATTGGTTCTATTTTTCGGACATTTAACCTCAACTATGCTCGTAATTTAAGCTTATTCATTTTTTACATCGGAACTTTTTGGTAGTGTTTGGAACCGGTTTTATTTTTCATATTTTAAAACCGGGTTTAATCGGTTTTAACATATGAAAAATAAAACCGGTTCCAAACCCTACTTTTCGGAACTTACTTTCGAAGTTAATATACTCTTAACAACCAATCATATTTTATTCACGTGATTTATGCTTTTTTTTGCTCGCGAAAAATTGGTAAATTATGCGCATATTATGCTTTCGCATAATCCTAGTTCAAAGGCATGCCCTATTCCTGGCCTCATGGGCATGCTGGGTCATCGTGCCCCTACTCTACAGATAATACAGTATTACTCGTGATTAAATTCGACCAAAATTTTGAAGATCCCCGGCCGTTAGCCAAGGATCTGCCGCGCATTTTTTTGTGCGGCACCTAGGTTCAATGTTTTTAAACTTTGAACGAATATACCTGATTAAATTCGACCAAAATTTTTATAAAAAGTTATAGAATTAAAATAAAAAAATTTGATCGAATTGGGTCAGGTAAGTGTCGAGTAATATTCGTTCAAAGTTTAAGTATGTATAAAAAGAAAGCTGCGGCCAAATTTTTTTTTTTACTTTTAATGAAGACTTCTCGACAACTAATTATCCAAATTCGATAAATTTTCTTTATTTAATTCTATGAACCCATAGGATTAAAATAAAAAAAATTTAAATAGAATTTGGATTGTTAGTTGTCGAGAAATCTTTTTAATGTTTTTAGAAAAATCTTTAAAAAAGATAAGTTAAAATATTTTTTTTTTATGTAAACTTTAGACGAAGATTTCTCGACAACCAACTATCCAAATTCGATGAAAATTTTTTTATTTAATTCTTTGAATTCGGTGAATTAAAATAAAAAAGATTTGCCGAATTTGGATAATTAGTTGTCGAAAAATCTTCATTAAAAATAAAAAAAATTTTGGTCACAGTTTTTTTTTTAAATGAATATTACTTACCTAACCAAATTCGATCAAGTTTTTCTATAAAGTTTTACGTAGAATTAAAATAAAAAAAGGTTGATCGAATTTGGTCAGGTAAAAGTCGTTCAATTGTTAAAAAAAAAACTGCAGCCAAATTTTTTTATCTTTTAATGAAAATTTTTCGACAACTAATTATCCAAATTCAAATTTTTATTTTATTTTAATTCAGTAGATTCAGAGAATTAAAAAAAAAAAAATTTTCATCGAATTTGGATGGTTGTCGAGAAATCTTCATTTAAGTTGAAAAAAGAAAAATTTACTCGAATTTGGTTTGTTTTTTTATTTTCATTCTACAATAGCACAGAATTATAATAAAAAAAATTTTGCTAAATTTTATCGAGAAACCTTCGCTAGAGGATCTTCAGTTTTGTTGATTGGCTGTTTCCTTTTTTGGTTTTGGTACTATCGTTAAGTCACGTTGGAGATCATCATGGCCAATAGAAACTTGGGGGAAAATTAGTAAATGTCGAGAGTTTCTATTTAACTCTCCAAAAACCCACTTATACTTGTTTATTATAAACTCTACTCTAAAACTAATCTCTGACCTTAACCCCTAACCCTAAAAAATGTGGATTGTACTGTACAATATTTATTTCATTTTAATCCGATTTCATTTTAATCCGTCACATTCAATTATAGATGGATTTTCCGTAGACGGTTAAACATAACGGCAGATTTTCTTTTGACGGCACTCTGAAATTTAATCTTGTACTCTTTCTTAAAGCATTCCTTTTTTTTTCACAATGTCGAATTTTAAAAAGAAATCTTTGAACTCAATAAATATTTTTGCGTTCTTTTCTTTGGTTTTATTTTTAGTGTTGACGTTTTTTAATAATTATTACTATTTAAATTTTACGGAATTCCAACATAAAAGCCAACAGAAAAATTCGACCCTGAAAACATACCCGTTCACGATAGTAACTGGCGCAAGTTCTGACCATTTTTGTTCTCTTCAATCATGGCTTTATTATATGTCTTTATCATTGTCACCTATCCCTGCGACCTATCACCCTAGGATAATAGTTTATGATCTAGGCCTTCTAAATTTTCAACGCAATGCACTCACCCATCTTCAACAAAAAAATTATCTCACTCACTATAGACTTTTTAACTTTTTAAAATTTCCTTCATTTTTGGAATATATCAATTTCTAGAGGTGAATACGCGTGGAAACCTGCAATAATTGCTGAAGTTTTTCGGGAATTCCCTGGCATAGTTTTGTGGCTAGATTCAGGAACCTTTGTATCATCCGATTTTTTAATGAATGTTGAGAAGCTGGTTAATGCCCATGATGGTTTTTTTTCTCCAAAAAGTAATGGAAATTTATTGAAGTGGACACATCCCGGCGTTTTTAAATATTTCAATGATTCAACAAAAAAAACAAAGTACGAGAAATCAGTTAACTGTAATGCCGCTGCATTGTTATTTGACACCGAACGTGTATACCACATAATAGAGGAATGGGAAAAGTGCGCTCATATAAAAGAATGCATAGCACCAAATGGCAGCAATAGAACTAATCATAGGCAGGATCAGGCTATACTTACTTATCTTATGTTAAACAATAATAGGAGATGTGGTGGTAACATAATATCATTTGGAATGAGGACGCACATGGATGTATATTGCGCTCAGATGATATGGGAATACGAGGAAATCTATGGTGAAATTTGGAGCCCAAGCGCTCAAGATTTGAAAGAAATGAAGGAAGTGATAGAAAATTCACCTAACCTTATTATTTATGATATTTGGACTAAAAATGGTAAAGACGCAAATTTGGAAGAAATTAAAAAAACCGGGAATTATTCTTTAAAGCTTGAGGATGTTTTTCGAGAGGAAAAGGGTGGGATGAGAATAAAGAACAATAATCTAGAAAGGGTAAAAAAAAAGGAAACAAATATAGTAAAAGCAAAAACAACAAAAATACGTAGTAAAAGCAAAAACAAAACAAAACAAAAATAGTAAAAAGGGTAAAACTTAATAATCTTATATGTAATACAGTCAGACCTCTCTAAATGCATAGTCGAAGGGCGAACCAATAATCTTGCATTCAGAGAGGTATTGCATTTAGAGAGGTAAAAATATAGAAGTGTTATATAAGTTGGGGCCAAATAAGGCCATGCATTTAGAGAGACTAAAATAATACGTATAGTAAATCAAGAGAAAAGTCAAATTTCATTATCCATAATATCCATAATATGATTAATATATATATTTATTATTATTAAGTGTGGCCAAAATGATCTCAATCTTGATCTTTAATTACAAAATTAATAATTTTATTTCAAGCCATTAGCAACAAATAATAGATATCCATCAAATAATATTAATATGTTCTGTACGAATAAACTAATTTCTTGTGAATCGAGTTATTTTAACTTACACGTAACAATTTTAAAATTCATCAAGTTGTTTAATTGCTTCGTCATATTTTCTCTCGGCTTCCTGGAATTTAATAGTCATTTCTTCGAATTGCTTTTCTAATTCTGCTTTCTCTGTTTCAAGTTGCTGAACCTTACGTTCAAAATGTTCTGCCTTAACATCTGTTTGACGTAGTCTTTAAATAAAAATAAATAAATAAATAAGTAAAAAAAAAATAGATCACATTAACTCAAACATCATCTTATTATTGAATATGTAATATTTGCTTATTCTAAATAATTATACATACTTTTCTGTTGTCTCTCTCAGATTTTTTTCAGTGTTATCCAATTCATTTTCAAGTAAAGCGACTTTTCTCTGAAGACTTTCTGAGACGTTCTTGGTATTCTCTTCTTCTTCTTTGGCAAGTTTAGCGTCCGAAATTTTTTTTTCTGCTCGTTCGACTTCAGCTTCTAAAAGCGCAATTTTATTTTGAAGAGAGATATTTTCCTGCTCTTTGGCAGTCAATTCTTGTTCGGTTTTTTTTTGTTGAGCCTCTGCTTCTTCTGCACGCTGAACAGCGGCATCGGTTTCAGCACGTAATTTATCAAGTTTCTTCAGGAGAAAAAAAAAAGAATTTTTATAGTTATTGGATTGAAAACGAGAAATTTGGTATAACTACGTGATTTCTTTGTTCTCGCGATCGCTCAAAAATAATAAAATATCACTTGATTCTAGATGTTCGGTAGCATTGCTCAGCATTAAAGCCCAAAATAGAATTACTTACTTTCTTAACGTTGTCCATTGCTTAAGGTATGAATTTAAAACCAGAGAATTTTAGTAGCTTGGAAAGAAATTATAATGTAAAACATAAAACACAACGCAGTTTTCTTGTTAGCTTGTATCACTTGTATCACTAAATTCAACTGCATAACTCATATACTGTATATGTATATGCAAAATTATAAACCGTTATACGTACGTACGTACGTTATGTTTAATTGTTTAGCTTAGGAAACGTGGCAGATATTAGTAAGGTACCAACGAACAGAGAGCCGACACGACTTTAATGCTTAGCCATTAATGGACAACTAACTCTTAATAACAAATTACAGTAATTAATATTGTAGAGAAATATTTACCACACTAGCAACAACTTCAAACGAAAATACCGAAGAAACTCAACAAAAGTAACCGAAAGTCGAAATATATATAAAAATATTGCTTATGAATTGACTTTCACGGTAAACCAACAAATAATAAAAAATATATATTTTTTATTTTGAACAATTATATTTTTAAATGGATTCTTTTAACACTAATAATAATCATAGGAATCAGAAACACAAAAACCACCTAACACAATTACTTGATCGAACAATTTCTTACAAAACGCTATTGACAAGTAGTGAACAACAAGAAGTTGTGTCCGATGCCAATGCCAAGCACGTACGTACGTAGGTCAATCATGGCAACATGCTAAATATCCAATCATAACACAGATTTTGCTATGAAGCCTCTTTTATGTTCTAAAAAGAAATTCATATAACCCCTTCTAATTCTACTTTAACTTTTATGCACTTGATCTTAATCTGAAAATGTATTATCGTTATATTTTGTGCCATCTATGGAAATCTATCATCATTTTTCCACTGGTACGGGTTTACTAATTTTTCCCCCAACTTCCCATTGGACGAATACAAATATCGTTTTCCATTGGGCGAAACCAATTACATCACTGATCAAGGTGGCTAAATGCGCCGCAATTAAGAATAATATTCTCTAAAAAAAAAAATTCTTTTCGCTATTCACTTTCAAGTTTTTTTAATAAATAATTTTGTGTTAACGATTCGCGAATATTACTGTAAAAATTTAACTGTACGTATCGTGCAAAATTTTTAATACCTACTTCAAGTCATACTACTATACGAAAATCCAGCAGTAACATTTTATTTTCAATATTACTAATTAGCAAACTAGCACCTATTGCAGTATTATACTAGACATATAGTAAATGCCAGACATCCAAAGTGTCATTCTTGATGCATAATTATTGCGATCAAAGAACACACACTCATTACTTTTAATTTAGATAGATCAAAAGCGATATTTTGGATGTCCAGCATTTACTATATGTCGTTTTAGCCCTGAGTTGGGTATAAATAAAATTACAAGCTTGTAAACGTAGGCTTCAGCAAAATTTTATTCTCTCGAGAATAAAGTACCGAACAAAAACTTTATAAAAATTTTATTTTCTTAATGGTTTAGATTACTTTGATTTTCTGGAAAATATTTTCGCTTAATAAAAATATTTTTAATTTTTTTTTATTGAAGAAAAACGACGTTTTTTGATTTTACGGCTGTGCTAAGGTGGCGTGATCTAGCTTATCCAATTAAAGACGGGATTTCATGCGTCCCAATTGATGGCACTCATGTAGAAATACCCCATACGCCACCAAAAAGTTGCAGTCACATGACAAGCTTTGTGGCGCAAACAAATCATATTTCAAGATCATGAGTAACGTTACACAAGATTCCGCATACAATTTTACCACCATGTGATAGTTTGGAAATATACATATGTTTTTTTTAGGAGCCGGTAAGCCCGAAGTGAAAGTCCGAAAAACAAGAATTCCAAGTTTTCTTTTGCAATATTAGTCTATATAGATGTTTAAAATTTATACAGTACTCTCGGCAGGGACCCCAATATTTTTAAGATTTAACAATTGCCCCTTCCGTATTAGTGCATATTTTTATGCATGGCGAATCTTGAGTAAAATTTCCGATTATACTAACGATAAATAATCAGGGTTAGTCGGAAATTTTATTCGAAGGATAGAGGGACAGTGTAAATTCGAGTTGTCCTATACTTAAAGCAACCCATAACTACAGATTAGCGCATACATAAATAGTGATAACTGATACTGTAAGAAATTATAAATGACTGATAACCGAAAATGAAACCATCAAAAAAAAATATTATTGGTCGATTATCGTTTCATTTATTTGTTTTTTTTTTTAGAAAAAATATACACAAGCAAAAATGTATTCATTATTGGTTATTCATCTCACCAGTTATAATTAATCAGACTGGAACACTAAAATTTACAGCTATTCATATTAAATTATATATTGTATTATAGGCACTTGATCTTGCTGAAGATTCTCACAATGAAATAATTGTTAGAATTGAAATAAGATCATTTTTACAAGAGATAAATTTTTTGCAAAATAAATTGAAATTTTTATTACTATATCAGATATATAGTTTTATATTTGTACGTATAGTTTATACGGCCCAGTGTTGGCATTGAACATAAGTTATGTCCAATAATTTAAAAAAATATTGGATCCAATCGTTTTCAAAATCATTGGACATATGTCCAATGCTAACGCTGATTTATACGTATAATTACAATTAGGTGTAGGTGGTTATGCTGGGGGGGAGTTGCCTTCATACATATTGCGTCTCAAATTGACCAATCATTATCTGGTTCAAATTTAGTAAAAATGCGAGTATCGTCAATAATGTCGTTATAATGCTGATGTAAATATATTTTTTTATATAGTTTATTTTTTGAACAGTTTAGCAAAACTCGGTGTTACTAGAAAATGCCATACCATGCCTTACCTGCGCTCAATCAGCAGTTCATTGTAGATACGAAATACGAATTCATACGCGAACTGGGACAAGGGGCTTATGGCGTTGTTTGGTATTTACTTTTGTTTTACTCTCGGACATGCTTAAATTGTCCGGAAAAGTTCGCTTTACCCGTTCGTTCGTTTATTTATTTATTTTATTTAACTTGTTACAAACCGATATTCTCCACTAAAAAATTAACCATAAAATAGTGCAGCAAAAAATACTGAGAATGGTGAGCAAGTGGCAATCAAAAAGGTTACAAAAGTCTTTGAGAAGAACATTCTTGCTAAACGCGCTTTACGGGAGGTGAAACTTTTGAAACACTTTAGTGGTCATGAGAATGTTAGTCTGTTTACCTATAAAAGTGCTAATTTTATATAGAATTTGAATCTGATCAGAATTTGAATATTCCTCGTATTCAGCCACGTCTTTTTTACTCTTGGTTTCTGACATATTCGTTTGTTTGATTAGATTACATCAATTATTGATATGGATATAACAAATATTCACGATTTCAACGAAATGTAACGTACAACATCAGATCATACTTTTGTTTCCTATGTATTTCAACTTGTATATCAACCATCTTTTCTTGACCTTATTATGAATACCAATTTATACAGTTATCTATTTCAAGAACTCATGGAAGCAGATCTTCATCAAATTATACGTTCAGAACAACCATTGACGGACGCTCACTTCCAATATTTCGTGTACCAAATTTGTCGGGGGTTAAAATATATCCATTCAGCAAACGTTTTGCATAGAGACTTGAAACCTGGTATGCTTTAATGTAAATGAAAATAACAAATATCTTTAATTATGTTTTTTTTTTCTCATCGTTCATTGACTTTTACCAAATTTAGGTAATTTATTAGTAAATGCTGATTGTGAACTTAAGGTAATATATATGATATGATAATAATCAAATTTATCAATTATATATTAAATATTAAATATATCTATATTCATTGATTTTTTTTGTTTATATCATCCGCATATTAGATTTGCGATTTTGGCCTTGCCCGTGGTTTTTCTGATTCGCCTGATCATAATGCTGGTTTTATGACGGAATATGTTGCAACACGATGGTATAGAGCTCCTGAAATAATGTTGAGTTTTCAGAACTATACTAAAGCCAGTAAATATTCTTTCTTTTTTTCTTTACATACTTATCATTAATCTTCTTCTAGGAACTAATTTCATGGTTTTATTATTTATCTGACTTTTTATGATCTGATCGTATAAAAGTTGATATGTGGTCCGTTGGTTGCATTTTTGCGGAGATGCTTGGTGGTAAACCTTTATTTAAAGGACGTGATTATGTTGACCAATTAAACCAAATTCTTGGAATTTTGGGTACCCCAGATGAAGAAACTTTAAGAAGAGTCGGGAGCGAGAGGGTAATGAAGTCAATTTATCTCCAATTTCAAGAAATTAAATGTTTATTTAAATTGATGTCTTTTATTAGGCTCAAGTTTACATTCGTAGTCTACCAAAAATGCCAAAAATTCCTTTCTCACAACTTTATCCTAAAGCAAATCTTTTAGGTGAATATGAACTTATTTACAAATAACCTTTTATTTATAATATCTATAAATAAAATAATAATAATAATAAATAATAATATAAATAATAATATAAATAATAACAACAATAATAATTGCCAATATCTACGTCGTTCTTTAGCGCTCGATCTATTAGAAAAGCTTCTTAAATTCGATCCTGCTGCAAGAATCACTGTTGAGAAAGCTTTGGCCCATCCTTATTTGGCTGCATATCATGACGAAGAAGATGAGGTTAATAAAGAAATTTTTATTATATAAAGCTAAACTGCTTATTATTCATTTCATATTTACGTTGTTATTAGCCGGGACATGATGAAATTTTTGATTTCTCGTTTGAGTCAGTTGATTCGATAGAAGATATGAAGAGTGAGCTTATCTTTAATTCAACGTTATATTACTTTTAGCATTCCTCTTTATTAGTATTAAATCAAAATTATAATATCAGAAATGATTGCCCAGGAAGTGATGTCTTTTAAAGCATCTAAACAGGCGTCATTAGGATTGAATTGTTCACAATTAGGACGTAAACCAAGGTGATTAATATTATTTAGCATGTAATATATTTTTCTGATTTTTTTCTCATTTCCCTGATAATCACCATAGTACTTAAATGACCATGTCTGCTTTTAACACAAGTTTGTCAGCACCTGACCGCGACGCGCTAGCCCAGCAGCGTCAGCAAACTAACCGCAATTCTTTATACGAGTATGGTGCAGCTAGTCAACACGCAGCTATACCTTCTGCGAGTATGGAAGTAGATGATGAATTGGAAAAAGAATTAGGTGGCATGTTGTAATAATAATTTTTGCGATATATACAATAATCGACTTGAAAAATCGAAAATATGGGCTTTTTTTTAACGTATTTATTTTTGTGGTGAATTCATTCATTTCTTTTCAGAACAAGAATATGCCTATGTATGGTAGATTCTTGTCCTAAATAAGTTTGACATACATCAGCTAATTATAGTATTTATTTTTTGTCAACCACAAAGATTAATTCGTTGTTGTTGAGCACTATTAAAAAAACAGTTGGTAGGTTTAATTTGGATTTAACTCATTTATTTAATGGTTTTGTCTTAATAAATTAACGTCTGTGAACAAGTTAATGTTGTGACATTTTTTGGATATCATTTAATTATGGCTACTGTGACTTTTAAGAAATGCTTTAATAGTGATTTTTAACAGCTGCCCTACCTTGTTTAGAGCGTCGGGAGTGCGTCGAATGTAGCCCGGGTTTGTATAAGGAGAGCAGCTTCCTGCG